AATGCAGTTCATTTAAGTCTATTGTTAAGGACTTTAAAGGACTTTCAATTAATCACATAACATTCTACAAGCTTCTTTTGTCTGTGTTTACTGTAGAAATACACATGGAGATTTGGGTTGGACAACTAAAGCAAAATGAATTGTATAATTATTTAGAATAAAGTACATCAAAATTTTAAATCCAGGAGAATTAAAAATGATAGTAGCATTAAATAGCACTTTAAAGTTTGCCAAGCACTGTACATGTGTTATGTCATTTGATCCTCAAAAACTCTGTGAAGTAAGTGCTATTATTATTCCCATTTTATAGATGAGGAAATTGATGATGACGACAGTCAGCCCAGGGTCACACAGCTAGTAAGTGACTGAGTTGATATTTGAAGCCCAGTTTTCCTGACTCTGATCCTCAGTTCTTACCCAATACTTTCATTGTTCAGTTGTTACAATAGTGTCCAACTCTTCATGACCCCATTTGGGGTTTTCTTGGCAAAGGGAAATAGAAAGTGTATCCTGGGCATAGGAGCTTCTTGTGCAAAAGCACAAAGACCAGACGTGGTCTTTTTGCCATTTTCTTCTGCAGGCCACCCCAGACAGAAAGAGTGCTCACCTACTAATTGCAGTCATCAATTCTATTTAAAAAAGAGAACAAGTATCATCTAATTATATTGTACATCTAAGCCAAAGTAAACAGAATGGGACTGAACAAAAGAGAAAAGTGTTGGAATGTGAACATACGAATGCAGTTCATTTAAGTCTATTGTTAAGGACTTTAAAGGACTTTCAGTTAATCATATAACATTCTACAAGCTGTTGCCATTTTCTTCTGCAGCTGATTTTACAGATGAGGAAACCAAGGCAAAAAAGGTTAAGTGACTTGCCCAGGGTCACACAGCTACTAAGTGTCTGAGGCTGGATTTGAAGTCAGGTCTCCCTGACTCTAGGCCTAGCACTCTATCCACTGTGCCACCAAGCTGCCCTATATTACCCAATGTACCACCTAATAATAATAGATGACATTTATATAATACTTCAACAGTTTAGAAACGCTTTTATACTCAACAATTATTTTAATCCTGGCAACAACCTTGTGAAGTAGGTACTATAAATATAATTATCTCCATTTTATAGATAAAGAAATTGAGGCTCAGAGAGGTCACAGTAATTGATTTTGCCCAAAGGCACAGAGGTCGACAGGATTCAAACCCAGGTCCCCCAATCCACATTTAGCACTTACTCCACCATGTTACTGTGGCCTCCTTAAGATAGAAAGAACCAGCTTGACTTCATATAAAAAGCAGACAGATCAGTATACTACTAGGTCAATGATATAGAGCTGACAAGGTCTTTATAGATCATCTAGCACACTTTCCTCATTTGACAATGAGGAAAGTCTAGTTCAGTGAGGCTAAACACTTCCCAGAAGTCACACAGGCAGTAAGTGATGGCATAGAGATTCGAACCCATGTCCTCTGGTTCCAAATCTGTGCCCCTTCCACTGTATCTCATAACCCCTGACTATTACCACTTGTACTTTGTTGTGGAAGGAAATCATAAATGGGATGGAAAAGGAAATGCAGTCTTTTTTGAGCACACTGGTACCAACAGAAGGCCATATACAGCTGAGATTGCAATGGAGATACCATGAATGCAAGAAGGGAAAGCCATGGAAAAAAGCTCATGACAAGAATCAAATGCAGACAGCTATTTCTGGAGAATGGCATGTTGTTGCTTTCATAATCATGGCACTGACAAATGAGATATATGCATTCAACAGGCAAGTTATCATTCAACCCTTGTATCCCAGATCTCACTACACAGGGCCTCTTCTCACTCCATATCCCATGTCACCACCACAGTTACACCCAACAAAAAAGCCCAACCTAGTAGAAACTTTCATTTCTATTTTCCTCCAACACTGAGGTCTACCTCCAGCCACTCTCTCTGCAGATTGCTGTGATGAGACAGAGCTGGAGAGTGTAAATTCAGCCTCAGCTCCACAGTGAGCTTGGGGCCAGAGAGAAGGCAAACCCAACATCACTGTGGGAGCAAAGGGCATAGCATGGGAGGGAAGGGAATAGCATTGGAGGGAGTGGGACGCCCTGGGTGGCAATGCTTAAAAGAGAAAAAATAGTTTCTACAATCTGGAAAGCATCTCCCTCCTTTCTTCATAAAGGTGAGAGTTCAGGGTGGAAAATATTCCACATGCCATCAGATTGGTTGATATGTTCATTAGTTTTACCTAATTGCTTTTTTTTCTTCTCTTTATTTTTTGTTACAGGTCAGAACTTTTCTGTGAAACTTAAAGTCTTAGAGAGTTTGCTAGAGCATTTAGATATGGCACAGTAGATAAAGCACTGTGCCTGGCAGTCAGGAAGTTGCCGTTGCTATTGTTTAGTTGTTGACCCCTTTTGGGGGTTTTCTTGGCAAAGATACTGGAGTAGTTTACCATTTCCTACTCAAGCTCAGTTTACAGATATGGAAACTGAGGCAAGCAGGGTTAAGTGACTTGCCCAGGATTACACAGCTAGTAAGTGTCTGAAGCTAGATTTGAACTCAGGTCCTCCTGACTCCAGGGCCTGTGCTCTATCCACTGTGCCACCTAGCTGCCCCTGGACATGATATCTTATTACGGAGATTCAAAACAAACTTCTCTGTGACGTCTAACTATATGACCTTAGACAAGTCATTTAACACTGAGAAATGATTCAGTTTTCTCCTCTGAGACATAAAGAGATGGAGTCTACGACCTAGAAGTCCCTGACAACACTAATGATGCTATGATAAATAAATGAGGAAAAATGCTGATATCATAATAAGCAAATACTTAAGTTTATTTTGTTGTTTGTAACATGAACACTAAAGTTTCATGCCAACCTACATAAAAGGCCTACGTAAGATTTCAGTTCCATCCCCTTTCCTCGGCGTTTAGATTGGATCTTATGGTTTAATTGTGGTAGGAAACTCCCAGGAAGAAACTTCCTCTACTAATGTGGGCAGCTAGGTGGCCCCATAGTGCACAGAGCGCTGGGCCTAGAGTCGGGGAACCTCATCTTCCTGAGTTCAAATCTGACCTCAGACACTTACTAGCTGTGTGAACTGGGCAAGTCACTTAATCTCACGTACCTCAGTTTCCTCATCTGTAAAATGAGCTGGAAAAGGAAATGACAAACCTTTCTTTGCCAAGAAAACCCCCAAATGATGTGACAAAGAGTTGGACATAACTAAAACAAATAAACAACAACAAATTGTCTATAACTTATAATTTTAGAGAGTTGCCTGGAACACTGAAAGCTTTAAGTGAATTGCTCTAGGTCACATAGCCAATATGTGGCAGAGGCAGCACTTGAACCCAAGTCTTCCAGACACTGAGAGCAGCTCTCTAATAATAATAATAATAGTTCACATTTATATAGGACTTACCATGTGTCAGGCCCTGTGCTAAGCACTTTACAAAATATCATCTCCTTTGATCCTCAAAACAACCCTGCGAGGCAAGTGCTATTATTATCCCCATTTTACAGATGAGGAAACTGAGGCAAACAGAGGTTACGTGACTTGTCCAAGATCACACCACTCGAAAATGTCTAAGGCCAAATTCAAACTCAAATATTCCTGACTCCAGGCCCAGAGGAACAACAAGAAGATCACCTAGCTGCGTCTTTTGCCCCCTTTCCACTGCCACTGCCTCTCCCTCTCCTTTTTTTCTTTAAAGAACAAAGCCTTAAACATAGAGGAACAGACAATTCTTCAATTCAAGCAGAAAAAAAAAATGATCATTTAAAATCATAGAAGCCAACTCTTTTTTTTCTGAAACAAGCTGGTGTTCCCAGACTTTCTCCCTCCTTAGTTTAATGGTGATAAGATGATAGAGGTCATTGCTTTGAACTTGGGCTAAACTTCCTCTGACCTCACTCCTCTCTGATGACCAAACATGACAATGCTTTCAGGTGTCCCAAATGGCAATGTCTTACCAGTGTAGATGCTGGCACTGGAAGCTGGGATGCCAAACTGTGATTCGATGAACTTGGGAATGAAGGTGATAAAGGCGGTGACAATGGCACTCTCAGCTGTGTATGACAAACTCACAAAAAGGAATGTCATGTTGCTTAAGATCCTGACAGCTGCTCTTGGTAGGTCTACAAAATGAGGGAAAAAAATGACAAATGAATGTTATCAAGAAGGGATGGGAAATCTAACCTAATTTGAATCATCTTCTAAATGAATTGTCAATAACCTCTGAGCTTTTATAAAAATAGAAAAAAAAATGATGCCTGATTGGAAACTGTTTCTTTTAGGTATATCTTTGCGGGATATTTTTTCTCAAATAGGATAAAGAAGACTAATAAAATGTTACAAAATGTTTCAAAAATATCCATAATCACCATAAAAGATTCCAATGAACAAACAGGTTATTTTCCAAAAGTGTATTTCTAAGCTGATTATTCTAAATTCAAAATACATTTTTCCATAGGAAGAATGTGATAAATGGTGGTTAGTTCCCAGGCTAGCCCACAAAAACCTATTCAACCAACAACATGCCTAATGTAGGATAATAATAGTATTATTACTCCAACTATATTGTTCCATCATTTGGAAAATTCATTGAGTTCCAACCCCAGATAGCAAGATCATACCTCTTTCCCTCTTCTTTTCTTTTTTTGCTTCCCCTCCTTAGGGAATATAGCTTCCTTCAATAGTGGTATCCTGAGGAAAGATCTTAGGGCAACTATGCATGTGGATAAGGAAAGGCAGCACTCTAAGTCAATCACTTTCCAAGTGCTCTGAATTAAAGGGGGGCAGTTTCCCCCATGGAGAAAGGAGGAAAGAATTTGGCGCTTGGGGATGCTTCCCTACTACCTGTTCACCTATCTGGGTCAAAGATAACTGGGTAATGCCTGTGTTTTTGTTTTCCCAATCATGGCTTTTCTCATGTCTCTCATACTTCCAATGATAAGACACTGTGATGGATTATTTTTTACATATACAATCATGTCAATGATGGTTTGATATCTTATGCAATAAATGCAATCAAGGTCCTTAATAAAAAATAAATCTCTTTGAAAGTACGTAATTTAAAACTTCTTTCGCAGAGCACCAGGATTAAAAAGTCAGGAAGACAACATATATATTTTTAGGGAGGCCAGACTTGCAATTTCATCAGAACTCCCTGGTGTAGAAACTCCCTTTCCTGACTCAGATCAGCAACTAGTCTGCAATTTGAGTCTTAGATAATTAGTTGACTAAGATACTGAGAGGTTGTGACTTGTACAGGTCACTGGGCTGGCATCTGTGGAAGGTTGGACTGGTACCTTGGTCTTCCCAACCATCAGACCACCTGCTCCAAGGCTGGTCTTCTATCCACTACACCACGCTGCTCCTTGCTTCTACGTATCATTTTAAAATTAATATTAAAGTTATTTGGCATAGTAAAGGAAGTCAACAAAAATAAAAGTTTTATTATAAAATTCAAAGAAGATAATACATTTACAATGTAAATATCCTACAGATAATAGGTACAGTTGAACAATTTCTTTCTAAACTAATAAATTGAGTTTAAGAAGAAATTCTACTCATTTCAAAACTGACCAAGTTGCCTCAAAGGTAAATGATTCCTTCTCTTTTCTCTTGGCCATAAAGAAACCATTTAGCTCATAATAAGAGGGGTTTTTTTGGTGGGGGGATGGGAGGGGATTAATAATTACTTAACAAAATTTCAATCTCTTTTGTCAAGTTCAAAGAAAAAAATATATTTTAAATATAAATTTATGGAATAAAGGTATCTGAATTGATAAATTATAAAGAGATATCCTTTTTGCATCGGGGAATAAAGCATATTAGCATCACTTAGAACACTGGCATAAAGCTCAGTGAAGAAGTAACATACCAAAATAACACAAAATACAATGCTATTAATATTAAGTTGAAATGCTAAAATCCAGTTTTGTAATACATGCAAATAATTTTTAAAAATTCTTAAAATCTAATTCGCTGAACAAAGGCAAATTTTACTACAGGATAAAAATAGGAATAGTGTCAAAAACAATATAATAAAATTCAAGGAAACAAAAAAACCATTTATTGTATGTATCAATTGCTCCAGACACTTCTTTAAAAAAGTATCTAAACAAGATCATTTAATCCTTTACAGATGATGTCCAGGAAAGTACACTAACAGAATGGCTAAAGATCATTTTTAATGTCTACAAATTTACATTTAGCTTCAAGTTTTCCTTTGAAGTAGTAAAATTTTGAACTAGGCCATACTGAACTTGGACCTGGAGGAAACCTTAGAAACCATCGGTCCAATCCCCTCACTTAACAGTAAGAGAAACTGAGGCCCAGAGTAAAGAAATTATTTTTCCCATATCACATAGTAACAAAAGGGGCATGATGACAGACTGAATGGCAGAGTGCTGGGCTTGGAGTCAGGAAGAGCTGAATCCAAATCCTGCTTTTGATAGCAATTAGTTATATGACATTGGGCAAATCTCTCAGCCTCAATTTCTTCACATATAAAATAGGAGTGATATCACCCTCAAGAGGGGCAAATGAAACCATGTATTTAAAATTCTTAGCAAATATTATAGCTTTATCTCTAAAGGCAAGTCAGTGTTAATTATTAGTAGTCCCAGTATACAAATCTAAGGCCTCTGATTCCCAATTAATCCTCTTTTTACTCCACCAAGCTGCCTCTCATTGAACTGCACTGAACTCTTTTCCCCTCCACTAAATGGCCCCAGAGTGCTATGCTTTTTGAGTCTGCATCTTTCATTATTCAGTCATTTTCAGTTGTGTCTGACTCTTCAAGACCCCATTTGGGGTTTTCTTGGCAAAAATATTGGAGTGGTTTGTCATTTTCTTCTCCGGCTCATTTTACAGATGAGGAAACTGAGGCAAACAGAGTTAAGTGACTTGCCCAGGGTCACACAGCTAGTCAGTGTCTGAGGCCAGATTTGAACTCAGGAAGATGAGTCTTTCTGACTGTAGGCCTGGTACCCTATCCACTGTGCCACCTATCTTCTTGGTACAATCTTTCTATCTCCTCTCTCACAGTTTGTCAGTGTTCACTCCTTAATGCTCATCTCCCCAGCTGCTGCCAACCACTTCTAATATGCTGCCTCTTGGCGGGGGGGGGGTGGCAATTAGTCATGTCCTACTCTTTGTGACCCCATTTGGGGCTTTCTTGGCAAAGATACTGGAGTAGTTTGCCCTTTCTTTCTCCAACTCATTTTACAAATGAGGAAACTGAGGCAAATGGGGTTTAAGTGACTTGCCAGGGTCATACAGTTAGTAAGTGTCCGAGGCCAAATTTGAACGCAGTGCTTTAGACACTGTGCCACCTAGCTGCTCCTTGCTGGCTCTACTATGGTACAAAAATATGATCTAATGCGCTTGAAAAAAAAATAAGATGACTATTTTGTTATGGTTCTACACAATGCCCCAGAATAAATTCTACCCTGGAAAGGATCGATCAGACAGCAAAAAGGAAGTGTTGTGCAGAAAACAGATTCTCCCAAGTTATTCCCAGGACATACATCAGTCGCCTTTGGAAGTTCTAGCAGTTGTTCCTATCCAGGGGTCCAGGAATTTGTTTTACATAGATATATTTAATAACTATATTTCAACATAATTACTTCAATTTGTAATCTTATGAATTTTATATTATGCATTTAAAAACACGATTCTGAAAAAGGGGTCCATAAGCTTCACCAAGCGACCAGAGGTGTCCATGGCTCTAAAAACGGGTAAGAATTCTTGCTCTAGTAATGAACTCATCCAAGCAATAAGAGAATTCTTCAGGATTTAAAAAAAAAAACATCCTAGTTACCTTCACAAAGAGGTCTAGTTGAACCTCTGAGCAGCCAAGGTTTTCTACAGTGAGAAACAAGTTTCCTATGGCTGCAAACAGACATTCAATAAGAAACAATCCCAAAGAAAGCCATAATGTTGTTATCATTGCTAACATTTACCTAGTGTCCTCAATGTGCCAAGTACCATACAAACGATATATGGTAACAAAACATGGCCTTTGAGGTGCTCATGTTCTAATTTCAGGCACACTGACCACATCACACATGCAGGTACAATAGGAACCCACTGCTTACGCCTTATGCTTCGTTTTTGCTTTCTATTTTTGCCTTCTATTTTATTTCCTAGTTGGAAATTCTTGAGTGTATCTAGTTAAGGAGAATTATCTTAAGCAACTGTACAGTCATCACTAGAAGCAGTTTGAGAGAGAGGAAAAAGCCTTACCTAAGCCTTCTAGAAGATGATTCTTCTTTGAAGTGAGATTTGGAGAAAGTCTTCAATTCAATCAACAAACATTTTAAAGCACCTACCCATGTGCAAGGTATTGGGAGATAGAAAGATGAAAAGAACAGGGCCCCTGCCCTCAAAGAATTTATAATCTGGTAGGGAAGATAAGACATGTACACAAATACTATAATACAAATATGATAAAAAATGAATGCATAGTAGAGGAACAATGTTTTATCAGAAATCAGAAGAGGGAAAGGTCATTTCCAGCAGGGGGGAAAAGCTTCATGAAGGGGGTGAAACTGGGAATGGACTAGTAGAGTGAGCAGAGAAGAGTGGTTTGATGGATAGAAAAAAGCAGACTGCAAAAGGAGGAGACCAAAGGAACAAGTAGATGTGAATGAGACTGAAGAGAAGTAACATGATGAGAGATGGGAAGTATAGATTTATGCTTTAGGTACTGCAATATGACAGAAGAGTGGATGGTCGTTAGGTGGGAAATGAGAGAAATCCCATTATTTATGACTCTAATTCTACTATTATCTACTTAAAATAATGAAATAGTAAATCAAGAGATGGGAGCATGCACTAATGGCAGATATGTGCCTCTACATAGAATACATATATATCTTCTGCTCATACATTTGTTCTTGATCATATGGAAATTCTATTAGCCATAAATATTTTCCTAATTTCTAACAACTTTCTCCTATTCTTTCATACCTCCATCAACTTCTTATTATTCTGATGATTCATGATGGTTTAAAAGTGATCCTTGTTTCTGAGGGCTATCCTAGTGGAATTCAATCTCTGGCAGGTCCTGACAAACTGGAAAGGCTCTGAACACTGAGTTACAATCTAGCCAAAGACCAGCTCAGCT